CCACCATGCCCAGCTGATTTTTTGTATTTTTAGTAGAGACGGGGTTTCACCATGTTGACCAGGATGGTCTCGATCTCTTGATCTCGTGATCCACCGCCTCGGCCTCCCAAAGTGCTGGGATTACAGGCGTGAGCCACCGTGCCCGGCCTTGGACCAATCTTAACATCACAAAAAAGGAAATATATTATCTGCTTCCTGTTGAAATGCAATATAAAGTACACAGCACCACATATGAATTATTCTTGAAAAAAACTCAAACCTAAAATCAAACCTCTAGATCTGTGCTATCCAACATGGCAGCCACATGTAACTACTGGGCACCTGAAATGTTGCTACTTTGAATTGAGATATGTCGTGAACATAAAATATACAACAGATTTCAAAGATTTGGTACAAGAAGACTGTAAAGTATCTTACTAATAATTATGTACATTACGTGGTGGAATAATATTTTTAATATCTGGGATGAATAAAATGTGCCATTAAGATAATTTCACCTTTTTTTTTTACTTTTGTTAATGCAGCTACTAGAAAATTTTAAATTATGTGTCTTGCATTTTTAATTTGTATTTCTAACTGGACAGCATGTGCTGCCCTAGAACTAATTACCTTTTTACAGAAAATATGATATAAAAGCATATTAAATGATATCACAAGAATGCAATTAGCCAAGTCCAGAATGTAAGAAAGTCTACTAACAAATGATCTGGTTTCTTCAACGAACATGTGGCAATGAAAAAAATGCAGAAGGCTGGGCACAGTAGCTCACACCTGTAATCCCAGGACGTGGGAGGCCGAGCCAGAGGGCTGCTTGAACCCAGGAATTTGAGACCAGTCTGGGAAACATAAAACCCTGGACAAAAAAATAAACAAAAATTAGCCCAGCCTAGTGGCACATGTCTATAGTCTTAGCCACCTGGGAGGCTGAAGCGGGAGGATTGTTTGAGTCTGGGAGGTGAGGCTGCAGAAAGTCCAGACTGTGACACTGCATTCCCGCCTGGGCAACAGAGTGAGGCCCTGTCTCAAAAAAAAAAAAAAAAA